GACGAGATGGCGTTTCCCGAGTTGCTGTGCTGAAGACGTCATCTGGAATCACAAAGCGCGCCGTCAACAAGCTGTGCCTACTGCCAAATGCTGTTGCTGTTGAAAGTCAGGCTTCCAACGGGGGGAGTATGTCAGATCAAGCAGCTTAAATATTTTAAATTATTGCCAGTGGTGCGGTCCAAAGGAAATGCATTTTGGTGTTGTCGTTTGCACTGCAAAGATCATTTGCTACCGCATATGCGCATGCAGTGGAATTATTTCGTCTCCTTATGTCGCTATCTCTCGGACTCGGCTTAACAGCGTCCCCGAGCAGCTCTAACGCACTCGGGCTGTCTCGGACCCACAACGCTTCCTATGCTAATGCTAATTCGATTGGTGGCGTTTCGCCATCTGCCATCTGTTCTATCTAGAACCACCAGCCGATTATAAAAACAATTGTGTTGAGTAAGGTAGTCTTGAGTAGTCTGAGGTACTCAGACTAGCACAGCGTAATACTTGATACAGCCGAACATCATTGATAATTACTCTTATCAGTCTAGTGTGTGGGTAGTCGGAAGCTCACATCTTTTTTATGTGGTTTTGTAATCTACAAAATGTCTACATAAGAGTGAAAAAAAACCCATATTGATATTTACATCTATAACTATTCTGGAGTAGTCTCTGTGGCTTCTTATTTAGGCACGTCGGACTCAACCAGATTACTTCCGGCATTCAACTGGCCCTGCTGGACATCAACTGAGGATTGCTTTTGTTCGCTTGGAGCTTGGGGCTTCAAAACACTTTTCTCCCGGGATCGTAGAAGATTAACGAGTCCGCCAAAAGGAGCCTCAATGACAACGTAAAGCAGATACGAAATGAAAATAGTGATCCCAAAGTCAGACCAAAATTTCTGCATCTGAAAATCATCAATGAGGTTAGTTAAAAATAAGCAACCATCAACTACTAGAAACAAAACCTACTACAATTTGTCCGAGAAATAAGTATTAGTACGAACGCTTCTACTGTTGACTTCCTGTACGAAAAGGTGTCAGATGTACACGGAATAGGAGAGTCTCGAGAGAGGCTGCCACAATGGCGAGGATAGGAAACTGTTGGCCAGACCGCCATGGCCCTGCATGCAGGCAAAGACGATCCAACACAGGGCTAAGGGCCAGCCCACTCTGGTAAGCGTGTAGTACAGAAACTCCTTGAGGGTGGACAGGGGTGGAGCACTCTATTGGGTCGCAGGGTACAGGGCAAACATCGAGGTGATGATCATGGCCAGACTAAGAACCCATCCAGACCATACCAAAATCCGGCTTATTTGGAACTTCTTCCTACAATTCAGGTGAAGAAAATATCCAAAAAGAAATGCAATCAGCCAAGGTGCCGAATGAGTATGTGTGGCAGAATACAGTTTCCTTCCGGCATCTCCTTCGGTTCCATTCCTGCAATTAAATGGGGTTGAAGAACTCCAACGACAAACAGAAGCATCGTGGACCTACTTGAAGAGCAATGAGTATTTGTTGACTATCATCGTGGCAAAGAGGCAGGACGATAGTAGGAGAACAAGAACCGCGATGCCAGCTGCTGCCTTTTTGCCCCACTTATACAGTGCAATCAGCAGAAGCGGAGAGATTATATAAAGCTGCATATCCACTGCCCAGTACCATGTGTGATCCAGGCACTGAAAACGATTATCGTACAAATGGTAATAAGAGTAGATCTATGACTTACAATATTGCTTGTAGCATAATTCTGCACGAAGAGCAGCGTCCAGAACCAGCCCTTTTCATAGGCGGGCGGTACCATGGAATCCACCTTTAAAATAAGGTCCCCCAGAAACAATGGGCGTCAGCTTTATGTAAACTAGGATTGCTATTGCAAGTATCGGCACGATCCGTATAATACGATGAAGATACATAAGCGGCACATTCAGTTTTCCTTTGGATCTGTAAGAAAATTGGCAATAATTCTCGATGGATACAAAATATCTCAAACACTTACTTATCCATTGAGCGAAGAGCAACCGTAGCCACTAGTAGGCCACCAATAAAGAAAAAGGAATCAACCGAAAAAAATCCGTGGATAATAAAGCTGGAAAAGGATTTCGCGACCCACTAGCAAACAAAAAAACAGAGCTGAATGGTTTTTGCACATACAAGCATGAGGCCACTAAAACCGAAATCATATTGAAGGTATTTATATTTGGAGAAATTAGCGAATATATGTATTCATGGTCAAAAACAACACAGAATAGGGACATGCAGCGGATTCCATCAAGACAACTGATCACGTTCGGATTCGATTTGCTGTCGACAATGCGGAAGATGGCACGGGAACTTGACCGTGCCGAGCACATCTTCACAGTCACAGAGATACTACCTGGTAGGCAAAATACGAGTTAAATCATTCTGTAAATCATTCAGTTCTCTCCGGTCCTAACTCTGATCCTGGCACAGAAAGTAGTCGTAGAGCGTGCATAGACCCACGATAGTACCCATCAAGCCAAGAAGTACACTGCAATCCATAGTATGAGTCACAGAAATTTATTATGATAAGGTCTAACTTACACTGTGAAAATGGTCATTCCATCCCAAGGTTTCGATTCACTTGTCTGATAGCTGGCCTCGCTAAATTTTATATTTGTGCTGCTTGAGTTCAACAAATTCTGCATTAACTGCTCCAGAAACGTATCCATATGTGCCGCAGAGCAGGAAGCCGGAAAGCAAGATGCGATCTTGATCGAAATGGATACGGCGGGTACAATTAGAAAACAGTACTTTCCATGTATGCTGTGACTACTGGTGATCTCCTCGCTGATCTTGACTCATCGAAGTTACCCAGATGGTAGACATTGCCGGACAGCACTCCTGAGGGAATGGAGCCCCAAGCATCGATCACTGCTCACAAAATTCGTCAACTTCAGTTCTCATTGACTTGAATATAATTTTCATTATTTACTTACTCTTAAGTATAATTTTCCCATAATTTTCCAGTAGTGAGCGCCTGCATGAACTGAGCCATGTCCGCGAAACACAACAGATCCTCCTGACTGGGTATTCGGGGGTGGAAAAGATCCAAGTCCGGGAGCAATTCATACGGAAGTTTTCGGCAAACTTCCCAGCGGGCGGAGACTTTTTAAACGCTGGTAATCTTGCAGGACATCTCCGTCTTTCAGTTGTGCGGCACTGACAAGTACCAGTCCGCAGACAGTCCGCTTAAAACGTTCACCATGCTAATACTTTTTCGATTGAAGGCATTGCACCTTTTGACTGTGATTTTATAGGAATGTTTCGAGGGAAATCTGGCGATAAAATTATCAGTGTGTCAGCTCTCGAGTCGAGTATATCAGCCAAAATGCTTAATTCAGTCAAACATCACCGATAAGGAGCAATCCGTCTAAATTCTAAGTAGTCACAAGCTCATTTATTTATAATCTTTTCCCAGGTAATCGTTTTACTTATTGATGGATTAAATTTGGTTTTAATATGAGTGAGTAAGAAAAAAACGGAGAAAACAAAAGTTTAGCTAAACATGGATGTAGACAATTTGTTCTATAATTCTGATCATTGCGTGAAAAGATGATAGCCAAGGTGCAATTATTACCATTAGTGGTGGCAGATCCTTTCCTTGTTTCAATGTTTTTTCCAATTCTCATGACAAGTGGCAGCAAAATGGCGAGAGTTCGTGAAGAGATTCTGCCTCACCGCAACAACCAAATTTAAAACGAGGGGGAACGTTGTGAGTTGCTGCGGACACCGCAACTCTACATTTATACCCGATACTTAGTCAGTATGGCTCTCCTCCGGCAGAGGCCGCTAATATTAAACGACACGACAAAGAGTGCGTGCGAGAGAGACAGAAAATCAGTCAGAGCGTGACGTCGGGCGCTGCGTAGCCACTGCAAATTGATTTCTTGCTTTTGGCTACAAAAATGATCCGATCTGATCCAGATTCAGCGATCTGATAGATATGGTCACTATCTATGATTCTGCGTTTTTAGTTTTCTCGAATGTGCAATATTGTGAATATAACAGATTTTCGTCCTTTGTGGGTGCGGAAGGGGGTGGGGAGAAATTCTGAAATATAGGTTTTATAGTGAGATCTAACAGAAGTGCGGATACCAAATTTTGTTACTCTAGCGATAATAGTCTCTGAGATTTGTGGATTTTCGTCCTTTGCGGGGGCGGAAGGGGGTGTGCCGAAATTTGGACACGAAACAGTCAAGGTCCGATATCACAGGAGTATGGATACCAAATTTGGTTGCTCTGGCTCTTATAGGTTCTGAGATCCTTGAACTCATATTTTGCAATTGGCAAAACCGACCATGAAACCTGTGTGTTTGAGAGAGACAGAGCGAGGAAAAATAAAATTGTATTCTTGATTCTGGCTATAATAATTATACGATCTGGTTGAGATTTTACATTCTAGAACATATAAACATCCTCTACGATTCTGCCTTTTTTGGTTTTATCGTATCTTTAAAAACGTGGATGCCACAGATTTTCGTTCTTTGTGGGGCGGAAGTGGGCGGCGCGAAGTTTTGAAATATTTTTGTGGCGTTGTGGGGTGGGGTGGGGAGACCTGAAAAGAAGGGAGAATCTGTTAGGAACACAACATCGAAGTGGGCCCTGAACTATCACTTGGAGCCGTTCAGAACTGGCTCTGGGAATCATTCAGTACAAATATCGAAAGTACAGGGAACATAAAGTAAATAAAAATTCAAATACAAAACAAAGCCCATGAACGAATATTTCCTCACAGGTGCTGGAATAAGATGAATCCAACTATTAATAATCCACGTTCCCCATTCACCCTTTCGCGGGGTATTTTCGGATCCATGGGATCCTTCGACTTTACCGACCAGCATCAGCAGCAGCAGCCGGAGCTGCAGGTCCCCCCCGAAGGTTCCGGCGACAAGAATGGACTCAATGCGATGCCCTTCCTAGGCCAAATCCACACTAGTCTTCTGCTTTCGCGCCCAATGGGTCCAATAGGTCGCGCACACCCCCCCACCTTCCCTCCGATGGGTGATTCAGATGGGTGAGCGGCAGCAGCTCAGACTCCCCTTCCCCCTAGGACATAACTTACCCCCGGCTCCCGTGCAGATTCAATGCTGTGCCACAGATGGCATCGATGGGACCACCGCCCGTGTTGAGCTCCCTCTGGACAGGCGGCGCTTCTCCGGACAGCCGCGGAGACTACTACGACGGCCCGCACAAAGAGTACTCCGACGGCCGCTACGACGGCGACTACGAGGGCGACTACGAGGGCGACTACTCGATGCCCACCGAGGAGGACCAAGAGGAGGAGTCGTGCTCCTGTCAGGGCCAGAGCGAGTTCAGCTCGATAGAGCGCACCGAGTCGGACTCGGAGTGGGAGGAGCTCTCCGACGAGATGCTGTGCTGCGCGGTGTTCTGGCTGGTCGAGAAGACTGTGGTCGTCAACGAAACCGTCGGCTCGATGCGCCTCCGATTGTGGAACAGCAAGTTCAAGCTGCGCACCATCCAGCGCCAGTTGCTGTGGCGCATGGCCAATGCCCGGGGCGACGAGACGCTCGTCTTCTTTGCCGTGCTCATGACCACTCCCTGGCTGTTCTCCCTCAGCCTCCTGGGATTCATCCTGTCTTTGGCGGCGCTCCTGAAGAAGACCGTCGAGGAGCTGGTGTTCCAGATACGCCTGCACCTCGTGATCTAGGGGGAAGCCATCGAGCAGAAAGCAGCAAGCAGTATCCAATCACACACTGACAGAAGACAAACGTCCACACGCCCGACACTCCACTCCTCCCCTCAGAGATGTTTGCACTTCCATTTGGGCATCTATTTTCGTTGATGCCAGAATCGTAATGCACGGAATCGTCTCTCCGTTTTTGGCCGCAATGAAAATATATGCCGAAATATTCGAAATTCAAAGTCAAATTCAAACAAGAGTTTCCAGTCGATCAGATATATCGTTTATGCATATTACGATCCGTTCCGTTTGGACGGGAGTCCAATTGCTCATCGTTCATCCCCGTGATTGCATTTATTATTATACCCGATACTCAAAATGAGTATTGGGGTATATTAGATTTGTGGTAAAAGTGTATGTGTGTAACGTCCAGAAGGAATCGTTTCCGACCCCATAAAGTATATATATTCTTGATCAGCATCAATAGCCGAGTCGATTGAGCCATGTCTGTCTGTCCGTCCGTCCGTCTGTCCGTCTGTCCGTCCCCTTCAGCGCCTAATGCTCAAAGACTATAAGAGCTAGAGCAACGATGTTTTGGATCCAGACTTCTGTGATATGTCACTGCTACAAAAATATTTCAAAACTTTGCCCCGCCCACTTCCGCCCCCACAAAGGGCGAAAATCTGTGGCATCCACAATTTGAAAGATACGAGAAAACCAAAAACGCAGAATCGTAGAGAATGACGATATCTTTTAGACTGCGGAATCTGAATTGGATCGTATTATTATTATAGCCAGCATCAAGAAAACAATTTAATTTTTTCTCGCCCTGTCTCTCTCTAACACACACGTAGCATAGGCTTTGCTTAGAGTAAAACATTAGCGCCTAGATCTCAGAGACTATAAAAGCTAGAGCAACCAAATTTGGTATCCACACTCCTAATATATCGGACCGAGACGAGTTTGTTTCAAAATTTCGCCACACCCCCTTCCGCCCCCGCAAAGGATGCAGATCTGGGGATATTCATAAATCTCAGAGACTATTAAGGCTAGAGTAACCAAATTTGGTATCCGCACTCCTGTTAGATCTCACTATAAAACGTATATCTCAAAATTTCGCCCCACCCCCTTCCGCCCACACAAAGGACGAAAATCTGTTGCATCCACAATATTGCAAAATCGAGTAAACTAAAAACGCAGAATCATAGACAATGACCATATCTATCCGGTTGCCGAATCTGGATCAGATCGGATCATTTTTGTAGCCAAAAGCAAGAAATCAATTTTTAGTGGCTACGCAGCGCCCGACGTCACGCTCAGACTGATTTTCTGTCTCTCTCGCACGCACTCTTTGTCGTGTCGTTTAATATTAGCGGCGTCTGCCGGAGGAGAGCCATACTGACTTAGTATCGGGTATAACTGTAGAGTTGCGGTGTCCGCAGCAACTCACAACGTTCCCCCTCGTTATTTTTATTTCGCTGCATATTTGTTCTGCAATTTATTCAATAATAATCGGAGGAGGAGAGCATGCAGCAGCAGCAAAACATTTCCGCTGCAGCAGCGATTGTGGCAGCCGTGGGGCCTTTGTTGCCACCAATTGCAGGCCCCCGCATACGCACTTCGGAGGCACGGAATCCACCAGAAGCGGCAACAAATGAATCATTAAATATTCACTGTACTCTTATTGATTCAGTGATCAGTGATCAAAACAACACAACAAAAGCGTCATCATCCACGATCCACGACCCATTATACCTGATCCAGAATCCGTAGAAGTATCCATTTTCAGGGCTCTTTTGGGCGCTGGTTGGGGTACGCCTCCGATTTCAATCCCTTGCCACACGGGCAACCCGAGCAAGCCCCGATATGTAAACAGGGTCAAGACTACCTGTGCGAAGGGGGCCAAGGGAGGCGTCGGCATAAGACTCGGCCCGGAAGTGGACATACTCGTGTGCAGCCCTTTCGCCCGGTTATTGATATTCCCATTTGTGATTACAGTCTGTAGCGCCCCAGCAGCTCTTATAGTCTTTGAGCATTAGGCGCTGAAGAGGACGGACAGACGGACGGACGGATGGACGGACGGACAGACGGACAGACAGACAGGGCTCAATCGACTCGGCTATTGATGCTGATCAAGAATATATATACTTTATGGCGTCGGAAACGATTCCTTCTGGACGTTACACACATCCACTTTTACCACAAATCTAATATACCCCAATACTCATTTTGCAAACAGATGCAAAAAAAAACAAAACGGAGAAAATCCCTACTGCAGTCATCGACTGCGATACAACCTCTGGCGCTTACGTATAATTTCGTATAAAATATGTTCTATGTAAATAATCAACCAATTTCTTTTCGGTTTTAGTTGCCGATCGTGTTCTGACATGATAATTATAGTACGAGAACAAAGAATACAATAAGTATAGACAATGGAAGAGATTACTTGGAAGAGTATAATTTTTATACCCGATACTCAAAATGAGTATTGGGGTATATTAGATTTGTGGTAAAAGTGGATGTGTGTAACGTCCAGAAGGAATCGTTTCCGACCCCATAAAGTATATATTCTTGATCAGCATCAATATCCGAATCTATTGAGCCCTGTCTGTCTGTCTGTCCGTCCTATATACAGCTAGTTATAGCAACGATATTTTGGATCCAGACTTCTGTGATATGTCACTGCTACAAAAATATTTCAAAACTTTGCCCCGCCCACTTCTGCCCTCCCAAAGCGCGAAAATCTGTGGTATCCACAAATCTCAGAGACAATTAAGTCTAGAGTAACCAAATTTTTCTCACTATAAAACCTATATTTCAGAATTTCGCCCCACCCCCTTCCGCCCCCACAAAGGACGAAAATCTGTTGCATTCACAATATTGCACATTCGAGAAAACTAAAAACGCATAATCATAATGACCATATCTATCAGATTGCTGAATCTGGATCAGATCGGATCATTTTTGTAGCCAAAAGCAAGAAATCAATTTGCAGTGGCTACGCAGCGCCCGACGTCACGCTCAGACTGATTTTCTGTCTCTCTCGCACGCACTCTTTGTCGTGTCGTTTAATATTAGCGGCCTCTGCCGGAGGAGAGCCATACTGACTAAGTATCGGGTATAAATGTAGAGTTGCGGTGTCCGCAGCAACTCACAACGTTCCCCCTCGTTTATTAGTTGAATTTGTGAGTAAAGCGCTTGTCGAATAGTTATTTGTAAGATCTAATATCTCAAGTGGCTTCAAAGTCTTAACTTAATAGCAAACTTAAACATGTCTGGTCGGCGAAAAGTCATTGAATACAAGAAAACCATACTGGATCTAAATATGGGAAAGACAAAACACGACTATTAGCATCTTACATTTAACTATTCTGAAACAGTCGTTGTGGCTTCTTCCTTAGGCTCTTCAGGTTCATCCAGATTCCTTCCGACATTAAACTGATCCTGCTGGACATCTACTGACGACTGCTTTTGTTCGCTTGGAGATCGTGGCTGCCGGGTTCGTAGAAGACTATCGAGTCCGCCAAAAGGAGCCCCAATGATAACATAAAACACATACGACATCAAAATAGTGATCCCAATGACAGACCAGAAATTAAGCATCTGCAAAGCATAAAATATTATACATTTGTTATAATCCACTAGTTTCCTTCAACTATCCAAAACAAAACTTACAAAGTTGTAGTTCGAAAAATATGTATTGGTCCGTAGAATTCTGCTGTTTACTTCCAGAGTGAACATATTCCAGATGTACACGGAATAGGAGAGTCTCGAGAGTGGCTGCCACAATGGCGAGGATAGGAAACTGTCTGCCAGACCGCCATAGCCCTGCATGCAGGCAAAGATGATCCAACACGTTGGTATTACTTCATAGAAAGTTTCACACCAAAAATCATTTATTAGCCAGGCTCAACTAACGTAGTAGCGGACGCTTTATCTCGGATTAAAATAAATCATATGACAGATAGTCGACCAGACAGAATCAGAATCAGATATAAATACTCAGCATTCAGCAGAGAGTAGTTTTGAAAACGTCATTCAAGAGACTAGCAAGCCTCTAAACCAATTTAAACAGCAGCTACTATTAGCGCAAGGGAGATTCACAGTTCATGAGTTAGTAAGAGTTTATGAAAATACCCGACATATTATTGAATTTGATACGGTTGACAATCTGCTAATAATTTTAAAAGAATTTATTCAGCCTCACTTAACCACAGGAATACACTGCACTTTAGAAGATTTATACCTTATCCAAAATAAGCTAAAGGAAAACTTCATAAATAAATTTCTCTTCACGAGAAAGTTCCTCCAAGATGTAGTAAATTCAGAAGATAAAGCTATAATTATAGAAGAAACTCATTGCAGAGCCCATAGAGGACTAGATGAAAATTAAAAACAAATAACTAAGCTGTATTATTGGCCAAACCTGCACAAAAAATTAAAAGAATATATAAAAAATTGTGAGATCTGTAACAAAAACAAATATCACAGACACCCTGTAAAAATTCCAATTGGGGAAGCTCCCATTCCAGCAAAAGAAGGAGATCAATTACACTTAGACATATACTATGCCCAAAACCTAACATTCATAACTTGTATAGATTCTTATTCCAAATACTTGGTGGTCAAGGAAATTCAAAGTAAATTAAACATTGAAAATAAGGTAATGGAAATTTTGCAACACTTTCCGTTAGCAACATCATTAATGACTGACAACGAACCAAGCTTTACTTCAGCACAATTTAGATCATTCATACAAAGAAGTAACTTAACTATTTATTATGCTGATCCCAGACACAGCACCTCAAATGGCCAGGTAGAAAGGGTACATTCCACACTAACAGAAATAGCGCGGTGCATCAAGGATGAACTAAATCTAACAGATTATTCAGAAATAATAATAAGGGCGGCACTGAAATATAACCTGACGATACATTCAACGACCAATCAAATGCCATATGACATATTGTATAACAAAATAGAACACAAACATAATCCAATATTACTTAAGGAAGCTCAGACCAAAATGCTTAAGCTACATAACAAAGATAGAAGAGAACGAGGGGGAACGTTGTGAGTTGCTGCGGAC